CAGACAGCACCCGCTGAGCCTCTGCCCTGTTGATAAGAGCTGCAATCGTAACACTAGCCTTGGGGAAGGGAAAAAGGACAGAGTGAAGAGTCATATATGCCATGCAGTCAGTAGGGTTTGCAGAGGTTGAAAGAAAGAGAAGAGTTCCCAACGTAGATAACTAAATGCACAGTATATTATCCAATGAATACCTACAGAGCACCTACTAGGAGCCAGGAACTGTTCCAGGCACAGCGGACACTGCAGTGAACCATAGGGGGGAAAAAAATCTCTGCTTTTGTGAGTTTACCTTCTAGTGGGGAAGACAGAAAACAGTAAACAAATAAACAAAGACAGTTTTTGGCTGTGATAACCGTGATGAAGGAATTAAAGAAGGTAATGAATGGGATGGAGAATAAGAGGACCATACTTTAGGACAACTGGGTGGCTCAGTCGGTTAAGAGTCTGCCTTCGGATCAGGGAAATCCAAATCAAAACCTCAATGAGATACCACCTCACACCAGTCAGAATGGCTAAAATTCACAAGTCAGGAAATGACAGCTGTTGGAGAGGATGCGGAGAAAGGGGAACCCTCCTACACTGTTGGTGGGAGTGCAAGCTGGTGCAGCCACTCTGGAAAACAGTATGGAGGTTCCTCAAAAAGTTGAAAATAGAGCTACCCTACGATCTAGCAATTGCACTACTGGGTATTTACCCCAGAGATACAAATGTAGTGATCCGAAGGGGTATGTGCACCCAAACGTTTACAGCAGCAATGTCCACAATAGCCAAACTATAGAAAGAGTCAAGATGTCCATCAACAGATGAAGAGATAAAGAAGATGTGGTATATATATACACAATGGAATATTACACAGCCATCAAAAAATGAAATCTTGCCATTTGCAACGATGTGGATGGAACTAGAGGGTATTATGCTAAGCAAAATAAGTCAATCAGAGAAAGACAAGTATCACATGATCTCACTGATACGAGGAATTTGAGAAACAAGACAGAGGATCATAGGGGAAGGGAGGAAAAAATGAAACAAGATGAAACCAGAGAGGGAGACAAACCATAAGAGACGCTTAATCTCAGGAAACAAACTGAGGGTTGCTGGAGTGGTGGGGGGTGGGAGGGATGGGGTGGCTGGGTGATGGACATTGGGGAGAATATGTGCTATGGTGGGCACTGTGAATTGTGTAAGACTGATGAATCACAGACCTGTACCCCTGAAACAAATAATATATGTTGAAAAAAAAAAAAGAAGATAGTAGGAAGGGAAAAATGAAGGGGGAATCGGAGGGGGAGACGAACCATGAGAGACTACGTACTCTGAGAAACAAACTGAGGGTTTTAGAGGGGAGTGGGGTGTGGGATGGGCTAGCCCGGTGATGGGTATTAAGGAGGGCACGTATTGCATGGAGCACTGGGTGTTATACGCAAACAATGAATCATGGAACACTACATCAAAAACTAATGATGTAATGTATGGTGACTAACATAACATAATAATAATAATAATAAAAAAAAAGAGCCTGCCTTCGGCTCAGGTCATGATTCCAGGGTCCTGGGATGGACTCCCACATCCGACTCCCTACACTGCATGGAGTCTGCTTCTCCCTCTGACTGCCGTTCTCTCTCTCGCTGACAAATAAACAAGTAAAATCTTTTAAAAATTAAAAAAAAAAGAGGACCATACTTTAGATGGTCAGGGAAGGACTCTCTCAGAAGGTAGCACATGAAGGATGGGTCCTGAAAGGTGAGAAGGACCCACCAGGTGGAGAAGAGGGGAAACATTCCAGGAAGAAGGAAGAGTAGGTGCAAGAATTTGAGGTGGGAAAAGGCTAGGTACGCCTGAGAATAGAGGGGAAAAAAACACCTTTGTAACTGAAACATAGTGAGAGGAGAGAATTTGTAGGACAGAAGGCTGGAGGAGTGGACAGGACTTAGCTAAGGACCAAGCCCTGAGAAGCAGGTTCTTGGGGGAAGATGTTTTACTTTTGGCACACTGGGTTTGAAGTGCCAGAGGGGATCTCCAAACTAAGGATCCAGGACTTCGTCCTAAGAACTAGGGATAAGTAGTGAGATTCGAGAAAATATCCACTTGTGTCAAAATCACTGGGGAAAGTTCTAAAAATACAGACTTCTCAGGCATTGAAAATACAGATTTCTGGGATATCACCCTGAGACATTCTAATTCAAGTAGATCTTGGCTAAGGTCTGGAAATCATTTTTGCAGTACTCACGGGTAATTCTGATCCATTCATCCAAGAAGTATTTTTTGCATTCCTATTATGAGCCAGAAAAATTCTAAGTGTTAGAGATACAGCTCTGAACAGGTTACAAAGCTTAAGGTGTAGAGAAAGAACCAAAGGTGAACACATAAAATAAGTTACAATAATGATACATGTCATTTAAAAAAAAAAGCTGCTGAGTATGGAGGTTCCTCAAAAAGTTGAAAATAGGGGCGCCTGGGTGGCTCCGTCGTTAGGCGTCTGCTTTCGGCTCAGGTCATGGTCCCAGGGTCCTGGGATCGAGCCCCACATCGGGCTCTCTGCTCAGCAGGAGGCCTGCTTCTCCCTCTCGTGCTCCCCCTGCTTGTGTTCCCTCTCTCGCTGTGTCTCTCTGTCAAATAAATAAATAAAATCTTTAAAAAAAAAAAAAAGTTGAAAATAGAGCTACCCTACCATCCAGCAATTGCACTCCTGGGTATTTACCCCAAAGATACAAATGTAGTGACCCAAAGGGGTACGTGCACCCCAATGTTTATAGCAGCAATGTCCACAATAGCCAAACTATGGAAAGAGCCTAGATGTCCATCAACAGATAAATGGATAAAAAAGATGTGGTATATCTATACAATGGAATATTTTGCAGCCATCAAAAAACGAAATCTTGCCATCTGCAACAACGTGGATGAAACTAGAGGATATAATGCTAAGCGAAATAAGTCAATAAGACAATTATCATATGATCTCACTGATACGAGGAATTTGAGAAACAAGACAGAGGATCACAGGGGAAGGGAGGGAAAAATGAAACAAGACAAAACCAGAGAGGGAGACAAACCATAAGAGACTCAATCTCAGGAAACAAACTGAGGGTTGCTGGAGGGGGTGGTGGGAGGGATGGGGTGGCTGGGTGATGGACACTGGGGAGGGTATGTGCTATGGTGAGCGCTGTGAATTGTGTAAGACTGATGAATCACAGACCTGTACCTCTGAAACAAATAATACATTATATGTTAATTTAAAAAATAATAAATAAAAAGCTGCTGAAATGTAATTACTATGGGGATCTACACTAAATAATATAAAGAGAAGATCTCCGAGGAAGTGACTGAGTTGACAGCTGAGAAATAAGAAGGAACAGCCCCGGGGCTGTCCAAGAGAACAACATCCCAGGCAGAGAGAACAGCCAAAGCAAAGGCTTCATTGAGAACTCGATAGATCTGATTCTTTGTCTTATTCCCAATTGATCAACCAAAATGGGGGAGAAGGCACTATTTCATCTTTATGTGTTCACACACTAAGCACAGACCTTGTACCGGGCACTGTGCCAAGTGCTGATACAAAGATGAGCAAGATGGTCCCCTTTCTCAGAGAGTCTGCACTCCAATGAGGGAGGCAGATATCAGAATCAGTATGGCCCCTTGAGAAGTGAGAGCATCCCAGATAATCGGTTCATGTTCTGAGAAAGTCAAGCAGATGATTAATACTTTTGCTGCATTGTGATGTGAGCAACTATTTTTGAAACTATGCATAATAAAATTACTTGTATTTCTCTGTGGCCCTGCCAGCTCCCAATATCTGGATTTTTGGTGACATATATGCACCAAGGGATATTGGGTCTGAGATATTGCATAATGACTGTATTTGGGGGGAAATAGCTTCCTAATAAAAAAAAAAACTAACATGTACAGAGCATTTAGATTCACCTGCTTTGAGCTGTAATTTTATAGTGTTCACAACATCCCTCTGAGGAACGATTCCTATTATCCACTTTTTTCAGATGAAGGAACTGGAGCTCCGTGAGGTGAAGGGACGTTCCTGAGGTCATTCAACTCAAATGTGACAATTTCCCATCTCTGTGTGGGCTTGGAGCCTCAGTTCTGGTCCATACCCCCCTCTGATGAATTGCTTAGATAGTGATGCAATTGCTCTCTTCATGCTGGTTGCCAAAGTAGACCCCTCTGTCTTCTTCCCATCCCAATTACCCACCTGGGTTGTCTACACCAGCCAGATCTACCTGCTTCTCCCTCCAGGGGCCCTCTAGGTAGAAACGTGGAGAGGAGAGGGTTCCTTGTTTGTACCCTTGGGAAAAAGTGGACAGCACCCAGACTGGCCCCTACTGGCTGGCTATACTCAGGCTCGGTCTCCAGAGGACCCCTGTGCAGTGCCCGAAGGGTTGGACCCAAAGCTTAACACCTTGCTCGCTGCCCACCTGTCAGGGAAGAGAAATTACTGGGGCTCAGTGTTCCAAGTCTGACAAGGGATCGCATCAGGGAAAAGCAAACTGTTAGTCAGTCTGTGGCCACCTGCACAGAGTTGGGTTGCCTTCTGTTAACAGGGAATGTATTCAAATTCAGCCGCTTGAAAAGATGAGCTGGTCATCTTGAGACCGCAGGCTGGCCAGTTTGCAACGTGAAGACCTTGGCTCTCCCCTGCCCTGAGCCTCCTTTTATTTCGGACTTGGAGGGAGTCTGTGCGCCTGTCTGATGGTCTCTGGGTGTGTCCTTCCAGGAGTGCCTGTCCCGTTTCTCAGGCCGGCTGGCTCCCTCCTCCTCCCTGCAGCCTCCCCTCACTCCCTCGTTCCCTCCCTCCCTCTTGTGTGGAGGCTCTTGGCCCAGGTCCCTCAGCCGGGGAGGGTGCAAGCGGAGGACGCAGGAGAGGTGAGGTCACGTCTCCCTTGAGCCCCGCGCCGCTGACTTTTCAGAGCCTCGCCGCGAGCAGGCGGCCTCAGTCTCGGACCGCGCGGACCCTGCGCTCCTCCGCCCACCCTGCACCGCCGGCCTCGCCCATGTCTCAGTACGACCCCAGCTCGGACTTCAAGAGGGCTCTGGACAGCAGTCCGGAGGCCAACACGGAGGATGACAAGGCCGAGGAGGACGTGCCCATGCCCAAGAACTACTTGTGGCTCGCCATCGTCTCGTGTTTTTGCCCCGCGTACCCCATCAACATCGTGGCTTTCGTCTTCTCCATCATGGTGAGTGAATGAGGACCTGGAGCCGCCAGGGCGGGAAGACCTGGAAGGCGTTGCCAGAGTGCCGGGGACCTAGCGCGCTGTCCACTGCTCCCTTACGCACTGCCCCGCGCACCCCGTTTTTTCGGTCCTTTGCGCCTCCTCCTCACTTTACTCAGGCTCTCAGCACTCTGCCCTCAACCACCGGCGCTTCCTCTGTGCTGCCTGTGGCGCTCAGAGCCCTGATCCAACCTCTCCCAGGCCGGTTTTCCACCTCCTTCCAGCGCCCATCGTGCACTCTGTCCAACCCGGGGTGTTCTTCCGTGGACTCTGCGGCTTCTTTCCCTGCCTGACTCCTCTGACATTCGTAGGCACCGGTCCGGTTCTTCTCAACCTGCTTTTCTAGAACCTCAAAGTGCGCCACCCTTGCAGGCAAAAAGCACGCCCCGTTCTCTGAGTGCACGGGTTCTAGGGCCTCCCTCTGTGCCCCGCTCGGGGCTCCTCCTCTCCAGCGCCTGGCACTCTTTTAGCATACAGTCTTTGCTCTACTGAGCCCAGGGCTTCGCCCCGGCCACTTTCTGGGGGTCCCCCAGCGATTTCCGACGCCCTCTCCTTGATCCTGGTCCCATGCCTTCTTGGGCACCCCCTCTCCGGGGCAACAGCTCCTTCTTACTTCTTTCTACGCCAGTTCCCTCTCCTTGGTACTCTCTGGCACCCCTTTGGCCCCCTCTTTCCAGCGCGCCCTCTCGCTCTCCAGGCTTTTCTGGAGCGCCCCTATTGCCCCTCTCACCTGCAACGTGAGCCCTGGCTTTTACTCTTTCTGCCCCAGCATGTCGTAGTTCTTCCCTCATTTGCTGAGCGCAGACCCTATCTCCGCCTTTCTTGGCATCCCCCAAGGGCTCCCAGGCTCCCCTCCATCGCTCAGTCCCGCGTCCAGGGAGCTCCCGGTAGTGCACTGGCCACACCGTGCGCCCTTAGCGCGTCCGCCTCCCGAACCGCGCGCCTCTCTGGAGTAGCAGCTGCTGGTGTTCCAGTCTGTCTTCCCAGGGCTCGGCTCCGCGGCCCCCTTCAGCCCGGGTAGGAACTCCCGGGCGAACCCCACCAAGAGGGCGGTGAGCGCCCACGAGGCCCTGCCTTATTGACTGGAGCAGCTGGCCCGCGGGTGGAGGCGGGTGAGGTTCCGCCCGGCACTGTCCCGGGACAACCCTTGGCAGCGATCTCCCTCCGCAGTCGCAGACCGAGAGAGTCCGATTCAGCTCAGGGAAGATCGAGAGTCACCGCCCCCTTCCCCCATTCAAGTCCGCCCACACCTGCCCATGGGTGGCACCATAGACCTCATTTGCACGCGCAACCGCTCTTCCCCGTTTGTCCGCTCTCCGCACCAACATTCAAGCGTTCCGCCGCTTCCCTTCCGACTGCCTGGGTTCAAACCACAGACTAGCTGTATGATCTCTGGAAATCACTGCATCTCTCTCTTTTTTTTTTTTTTTAAATTTTTTATTGTTATGTTAATCACCATATATTACATCATTAGTTTTTGATGCAGTGTTCCATGATTCATTGTTTGTGCATAACACCCAGTGCTCCATGCAAAACGTGCCCTCCTCAATACCCATCACCAGGCTAACCCATCCCCCCACCCCCCTACCCTCTAGAACCCTCAGTTTGTTTTTCAGAGTCCATCATCTCTCATGGTTCGTCTCCCCCTCTGACATACTCCCCTTTTCTTCCTCTCCTGTTATCTTCTTCTTTTCCTTTTTTCTTAAAATATGTTGCGTTATTTGTTTCAGAAGTACAGATCTGTGATTCAACAGTCTTGGAAATCACTGCATCTCTCTTAACTTCAGTCTTTTTGTCTGTAAAATGGGAATAATCGTAGCCATAATTTACTGAGGTTGTTGGATTAACGAGATGATTGTAAAAAGCTTGGAACAGTGTTCAGTATGATGTTATTATTAGATCTTTACTCAAATGTCACTTCCTGAGGCCCTCCCTGATTGAGGTTTAAAATCAAAATCCCACAAGGTCTATTCCCCTTTCCTTGCTGTTTTCTGCCCTGAGCACTCCTCTTCACCTGACATACTGTTTTATTAATATGCTTACTCTCTGTGTCGCCTCCTTAGAGTGTAAGCCCTATGAGGGTAGGAGTATTTGTGGGTGTTGTTTGTTGCTGTATCTTCAGCACCTAGCAGAGAATCTGGCAGGTGGCAAATGCTCCATAAATCCACGAAATGAATGCATGTGTGAATGAATGAATGGTGTTAATGGATCGTGATGTCTGCCTCACTCCTGCTGCCTTTTTCCCCAGACTGGAGCCAGGAAAACCGTGGCATCAGGTTCCTTAGGACCAGCCAGCCAGTTTGCTCTCTTCCTTCCTCACCAGAAATACCGGTCTTGGGTTTTTCTCCAGGCAGTAGCAGACACTCTGACTGGAATTGGTGCCCACACACTATCCTGATTTATTAATGAATCAGCAGCCACTTTGCCCCTTTTCCCAGTGCCAATTATAAAACTGCCTGCAAAGGCTTTTTCCTTCACTGATCCGAGATGAGCTAACACTCCAGCTCGTGGTGACAGGCTGGATACTAATGATGCCACTTGGTGTGTCCAGGGGGATAAGACTGGTACATGCTTTGAATGGAAACCTCTCTTTCTTACCCCCTCCTCCCCATTTCCTCCCTCAAGACTTTTCCAATAGTTTTATAGCAAGACACCACTCTCACACCAGAACACAGACTCTGGACTTGGAAAGTTGACTAGAGGCAAGTTTCACACCTTCTTAAAGCCTTGGTTTCTTCATCTAGAGAATGGGAATGTGAAAAACATCTTAAGTTGAGCAAAACTGTTATAAGGATGGAACAGGATAAAGCATGTCCAGCTCCCGGCATTGTGCTAGGTACATGCAATAATCGTTGCACAGATGGATAGATTTGGAGCCTGGAAACAACATATGCCACATATGAAAACAAACAGAACATCAAATAAGTGAAACCCAAATTCTGAAAAGCTTCCCCCACACTCCCCCCCCATCACGTAACCTCTAAGGTGTTTTCCCACTGAAACCGTGCAGATCTGGGCTTGACAAGTTTCATGAAAAAGACTCCAAAGTCCAAAGAATAAAAAGGAAGAGGAAGGTGTGTAGGGGGAAGGGGGCTGACCAACTCTGCCTCTGTGTGCCTTGCCTATGGTGTCTTGTGGGGTCTGGCTCTTTTCAAGTCTGACTCACCTGTAATCTGTGGCAAAACCAGGCACACCGTTGCTGGGTGTGGTGCCAGTCCCCACGGAGGCATTAAAAAATGTCGGGGAGCATCTGTGGTGTCGCAGTGATTTGGGGACTTACTGGCATTTGTTGGAAAGGGCAAAGAGGACTAATGTCCTGCAGTGCTGGAGTCTGTCCCCCAGTGCAGACCTGACCTACCCCAAACATCAACAACACTCCAATCAAGAAACACTGTAAGGTAATGCAAAGTGATATGAACATGACTGTATGGAAAATATTGATAAGGCTCAAAATAACTAGTTCCCAGCGATCTCAAAACAGTGAGACCTTTACTTATTAAACCAAACCAGAGAAGACTTCAAGTTGGAGGATATGTTGGCAAATAAGAAAATGACTTTGAAAAATATACATTTGAGAAGACCGTTCCTCCAGCTGTGGCGTCTATGATCTTTCCACCACCCTACGAGGAGGTAGGGAAGTCCCAGGGGTTGTGAGGTAGTCACTGCCCTACAGACGAGAATCGGTACAACAAGGCTTTGTCCTGTTGGAACTTTGATGGGGCAAGCATGGCCAGTGGCAGAGACACAGAAATCTTGGCTTCTCTGTGTACTGAAAGTGCACTTAACCTGTACTCAATTTCAGGGATGCATATCTCAAGAACTTCTCCCCCAGACTGGCCCGCTTCTAGCCCATATCACATATCCATGGGAATTGGAAAATGGCATATGCAGCCCTGCGCCAGGGCACATGGCTTAGAAAGTAGAGCCCAGGCTGGCTTTCAAGCCTCACTCCCCATGCTCCCACCCATCGCCGGTTATCTCTGTTTATGCCATCTGAAAGGAACTCCATAATTTCCATATGGCTTTTGACTCCAGAGAAAGAATGCCTGTTCATTCAACAAATATTTACTGAGCACCTGTTATGTGCCAGGCTCTATCCCAGACATTGATATACTCCCTTACCTCTATCAAGGAGTAAATCAGATCAACAAGGTTTCTGTGCTCTTAGATGTAGAAGGAGAAAAGTTCTAGGCAAATTGCAGGAGTATTGGCAACTTTAGGTTGAGTTTGCCATCTGTTGGTTGTGTAGCTGGAATTTGCTACCTGACTCAAGAGACTGGAGTTGAGTCCATGCTGAGCCTCCATTCTTGATGAGGTCATGAAACAATCATCTGCACAGCTGAACCAATCTGGTCACTCTAAGTGTGGATACCAAATAGCCAATGACTTTGGATTGGGTGATCTATAAACCTTCTTTCATCAGAACAACTTCTCCTTCACACTTATAGAACCAGTCTAGACACCAACCACTGAGGTTCAAGTCCTCTTCTGCCATTTGCCATGTCTGTGATTTCATGCCACTGATCCAATCTTTCTGAGGCTTGGTTTTTTAATCCTTGTAAAATGGGGATCGTGACAGTACCTATTCAAGTATTGCTCTGAAGACTGAATGATGAAAGTTAAATGTTTCCATCCCATTGCCTAGGACATAGCTAGAACCCAGTAAGTATGATGATGATGGTGATGATGGAAAGGATGATGATGTGTATATTTTAGGGATACATGCCATTGCCTTTTCCAGTGGCAGTTTTCCTCTTTTTATTGAGACCAGAAAATTCAGTAAGAACAAAAGCAGTGACAAGAAAATATGTCACTGGAATAGATAATTGTTGTAGCCTAAAAGTAAATATTAATGCTAAGCTGGGATGCATACAAATAAACAAGTAAGACTTTTGGTTCAGCATGGAATATCGAACAGGCCTATTTTCTCCACTCCCTTCTGCAACCACTTAAAATGATAGTAA